GAAGGAAGGAAGGAAGGAAGGAAGGAAGGAAGGAAGGAAGGAAGGGAAGGGAAGGGAAGGGAAGGGAATAGGAATAGGAATAGCACTTAGACTTTTATACCACTTCACAGTGCTTTTACAGCCCTCTCTAAGTGGTTTACAGAGTCAGCCTCTTGCCCCCAACAATCTGAGTCCTCATTTTACCCACCTCGGAAGGACGGAAGGCTGAGTCAACCTTGAGCTGATGAGGATCGAACTGCCAACCTTCAGGCAGCTGGCAGTTCAGCAGAAGTGCATTCTAACCACTGCGCCACTGTGGCAAAGTGGTTGGAGTGGTTGGAACGCAGGGCAGGAGGTGACCAAGCCCATGTTTGAGACCCAAGAGTTGCCGTGGGCAGGGTTGAGTTCCCGTCCTTCACGCCAGCTCCTGCCAGGGACGCGAAAGGAGCCCTCAACCGGGCATTCCCAAAGCAATGGTGATGTCACAAGCTAATTGTCAGGCCTGGAAACCACCTTTTGAATTGGGCCTTCAGGCCTGCCCCATTTTCTTCTGTGGGAAAATGGGAGGGGGAATTCTATGGAGTATGGGAGAGATATAAATAATATTCCTTTCTCACAGAGTCAAGGACGTCTTGCCCTGCACCTGGAGTGGTGTGACTGGGAGGCATCTCCAATTGGGATGGTGCCTGATTGGACCATGAGATGGACATGTGGGTGCTGGGGCAGGGTGTTGAACTTTCACTTGGGTGGGGAAAACCTGGAGGCTTTCAGATTCAGGTTTTCCCGGATGTGCCAACGTGACATCGCTAATGAAATGGAACTTTGAGGAAAGAAGACTCAAGCCTCTGAGTCTTCTTTCCTTAGGGGTGTTACTTGGAACCCTGACACTAATCTTTCAACCTGGAAGCCCCTCGGTGTGTTTGACACCAATGCAACAAACAAACAAACAAACCTACTATCCTTGATTAGGAACTATCAAGGAACTATCCTTCAGCCATGGTAGCGCAGTGGTTAGAGTGAATTAATGCAGGCTACTTCTGTTGTCTGCCAGCTGCCAGCAGTTTGGAAGATCAAATCTCACCAGGCTTCCATCCTTCCGAGATGGGTCAAATGAGGACCTAGATTGTTGGGGGCAAGAGGGTGACTCTGTCAACCGCTTAGAGAGGGCTGGAAAGCACTGTGAAGTTGTATATAAGTCTAAGTGCTATTGCTATTGCTATTGTCCGTCCTTCCTTCCTTCCTTCCTTCCTTCCTTCCTTCCTTCCTTCCTTCCTTCCTTCCTTCCTTCCTTCCATCCATCCATCCATCCATCCATCCATCCATCCATCCATCCATCCACCCAGGTGTGCACTGATCAGAATGCAGTATTGCAGGCAAACTCTGCCCATTACCAACAGTTCAATTCTGACCAACTCAAGGTTGAGTCAGCCTTCCAGCCTTCCAAGGTGGGTAAAATGAGGACCCAGATTGTTGGGGGCAAGAGGCTGACTCTGTAAACAGCTCAAAGAGAGGTGTAAAGCACTGTGAAGCAATATATAAGTCTAAGTGCTATTGCTATTTTTCACACTTATGACTGTTGCAGCCTCCCTTCCTTCCCTCCTTCCTCCCTTCCTCCCTCCCTCCTTCTCTCCCTCCCTCCCTTTCTTTCCATGGTTAGAATGCAGTATTGCAGGCTAATTCTGCCCACTGCAGCAGTTCGATCCTGACCAGCTCAAGGTTGGCACAGCCTTCCATCATTCTGAGGTTAGTAAAATGGGGACCCAGATTGTTGGGGCAAGAGGCTGACTCTGCAAACCACTAAGGGAGGGCTATAAAGTGGTATATAAGTCTAAGTGCTGTTGCTATTGCTTGAATAGAGAACTGGTGTTGATTCTGCAACCTTCATCTGCCAGGCATGACCCACCACAGAAGCAAATAAAACCACCTCCGCTACTCGCTTACGAGATTGATGAGTAAAGTCCTTGAAGCTTAGTCTCCCGCTGAAATCAAAATTTGCTTAGTGAGCTCAAGTCATCCGATCGGTAAGCCGTGACGAGGCCCGATTGATGCTCTCCTTCAATGCGCCATTCATCGGACCAGCACGGGCTCAACATCCCGCGTGCCAGGGAAAACTGTTGGCAACAATCACACCAATTTGTTCTTGCCAGCTGCAACAAGGCAAACTTGCTCTCCAGCAAATAGTCTTGCTGCCAACCAACTTCCTCCCCGGGATCCTTTGGCGCACAGGGGCAAATTTGTGTACACAAATTCCGGTTTGGTGCTTGCCAGCTGGAATTATAAGATGCGTTATGAAGCCCTTTCTGTAAGGAGCTCTTGGTTACTTAAAACCCCGCCCAAGTGATAAAGTACGTTGAGTATCCTTTGATAAATATTCATTATGTACTCCGGCCCCTGTCCTTGTGTTTGCTACAGCAAGCAAGCATTCTTCAGCGCAGATAAGAAATTATCTAGGACTGTCTCTCTTGCCAGAACGAAGAGAAAAATATCTGTGCCCAGTGCTGCATATTTTTAGTTTCAAGTTCATTTTCTTGTGTCACCGGTCCTAAAGGGCTAAAAATATCTCATGCTGTGCTAATCAACAGCGAAGGTTATTGTCGCGTTCCCAGTCTATAAATGCACCTGATGAATCTTGCAAATTTCTGCCATAGCAAATACCAAACGAGAGGAGCCAGGCAAGACAGAAGATTGACAGGCTCCAAAGGCTGAATGGGAGGAGGAAGAGGCAAGGAGGAAAGAAGGGAAGGAAGAGAAGAATAGAAGGAAGAAGACAAGAAGGAAAGGAGAAGGAAAAGGAAGGATGAAAGGAAGAGGCAAAAGAGAATAATGGGGGGAGGAGGAGAAAGATAAGTGTAGGAAGCCCCCCTCCCCAGATTAATATTCTTTATTCTTAATATTAAAAAGAGGCAGGATAGAATATTTCCCCAAAGGAGAAATGGAGAAAAATATTAACAAATGGAAAAAGCAGCCCCAGTCTTCCTACCATAGGAAAACAGCTTCAAATTAAGAATCTTGAAGAGGCTGGCCTTTAGGAATGCAGATTTGGAATAGATCAGGGGAATGCAACAAATGCAAATTTAGCAAGGCACATTCTACCATATGTGGTGGACGTGCCCAAAAGCCAGGAAATATTGGAGTAAAATAAAGACATGGATAGAAAAAATTACGAAACAAAAAATTGAATTGAGACCAGAACTATTTCTATTAGGTATGATAAGAGAGGACATGTAAGAAAATCCAATATATCATACTCCATATCAGTGTTTCTCAACCTTGGCAACTTGAAGATGTCCGGACTTCAACTCCCAGAATTCCCCAGCCAGCGAATGCTGGCTGGGGAACTCTGGGAGTTGAAGTCTGGACATCTTCAAGTTGCCAAGGTTGAGAAACACTGCTCTATATAATAACTGTGGCAAGAATTACATTTGCTCAAAACTGGAAACAAGATAGTATCCCTTCTGATGCAATGGTAATAAAAAAGGTACTTAATTGTGCTGAGATGGACAGGCTAACTATGGAACTAAAAGATAGAGAAAAAACAGAGTACTATACAATCTGTAACATATGGTATAATTGGCTAGAAAACAGAAGTAAAGAGCATTCATAAAGAGGTATAATAAAAAGAAAAGATATTGTATATATTTATAAATATCGATGTGGTAATGTACATACATGAATAAGCATACAGTACATAGAATAATGATGTATAAAGAAAGTTGAAATAGCCATGATGTAAATATGAATGATGGTGATACTGAAATGCTGTTAAGAGTGGACATGTGGTGTTAAGGTTGAAATATGTGTAATAAAAATCATTTAAAAATAAAAATAAACTCATTATCATTTACAAAAAAAAAAAAGGAATGCAGATTTGGTATCCATTCACAAAGACAGAGCAATCAAAGCAATCAGCCACAAGCTCCCACAGAAGGCTGGAGCTGATGGGATTAAGAATGTACATTCCCCCCACCCAAACTTTAAGGATGGGGCATGACCTTTAGGACATAATAGGATTAACCCACCACAATTAGAATAGTAAAAGACACAAGGCTTACTACATCGCACAAGCCTCTGGAGCATCTGTGAACCATATAGAGAACCATCCACCCACTCAGCCATTTTGTCAGCCACTCCAGAAAAATGCTGCTTTCACTGGAGTTTCTGGAAACCAAATAAACCTTCTTTTCTTGCAGTCAGCTTCCATTTTCTTTCCAATGCCTTTCCCTTGGCTTGGAACATGCACCGGATTTTTCTTCCAACAGAAGGAAGGAGAGAAGGAAAGAGAAGAAAGAGGAAAGAAGAATGGAAGGAAGGAAGGAAGGAAGGAAGGAAGGAAGGAAGGAAGGAAGGAAGGAAGGAAATACTTTGCTTAGCACTCAGCAAAAAATTGCTTGTGAAATTCAAATAAAGGGATTCTTTACAAAATAATCCCAAGAGTACCACTTAGATGGGATTCCAATTTTTAACCCTCTGCCTAAACTGTATTTTTCAAAAAGTTCATAACAGCCAACTTCACTGGACATTCAGATGTATTTTAATGCCTGTGATCTTCACAAAATTGGATGTTATCTTTTCCTTTGGGATTACATAAACAGTGCTAATACTTTGGGATTAGATAAACAGCACTGCAGAATTCACCCAACCTTGATTCACAACACAATTCCTTCTTTTTAAAAAAAATAATAATCAGATTTTATGACTCTGGACTCGGCATTCAGCAGCAGTTCAGATAGAATATAGAATAACAGAGCTGGAAGGGACCTTGGAGGTCTTCTAGTCCAATCCCCTGCTTAGGCAGGAAACCCTACACCACTTTAGGCAGATGGTTATCCAACATCTTCTTAAAAACTTCCACTGTTGGAGCACTCACAACTTCTGGAGGCAAGATGTTCTTGGGAATTTAAACTCCTGTTAATAATATCTTTTTTTTTTAAAAAAGGAAAGCAAACTTACTTGAAGGCATTAGCCTCTCCATGGACCTTATAATTTTCAGCACTTATTCTCGAAATTACTCTGGTCACGGCAATAAGGATGCAGATATTAACCTATCAAAATGAAAATAATAAAGNCCCTGCTACGCCCACCAAGCCACGCCCACAGAACTGGTAGTAAAAAAAAATGAATTTCACCACTGGCTCTGTCCCATTGTTGTTACTAAAACTATTATTTCTCCTTCTAAAGCTGAACTTTGAGGAATATTTGAGTTTCAATGTATTCATTAATTCAGGGAGATCATTTAAACCAGGGTTTCCCAACCTTTTTTTGGCCATGTCCCACATAAGCATATCTAAAATCTTGATGCCCCCCCCCCCAATGACATATAATTCTTACTTTACTCAAAAAGTGAACTCTACTCATGCGGAGGAAGCCTAAAAGGCCACTAGCTTGGTTTAAACAAGGTTCAAATTGCCCCCATGAAAAATCAAATTGCTCCCCTATGGGGTGTGGGCCTCACTTTGCGAACCACTGGTTTAAATGCTTATTTAACAATATAGCCTAAATCAAGTTCTCCAACATCATTGAATCAGTTTCGCTCTGTTAGAATTATGAGTAAAGACATTTTCGAGATACTTCATCAAAGATAATATATCTTACAATACTGTACCAATATATTTAATACTGTACTATTTTAAATAAGCAATATGTAAAATCAGATTTCCAGAGTAGGCTGCAAGCTCCATTTAGGTAGAGCTTTGGAAAGATTGCATAAAAATGAGAATATTTCCCTGATTAACAGCATCTCTAATTGGAAGCCACACTGCTTTACCTAATATAATGCTTATTTCTATAGCAATTAGAAGTAGAAACCATGCAGATTAAGGAAATACCTGCAAATGTGCATGATCAAATGTAGATATAATTGTATTGTGTGTGTGTGTGTTTGTGTGTATGTAAAAAGTTTAGGATGAGCTTTTCTGTAGAATTTTTTAAAATTATTTTTTCATTAGTACACAGTGGTCTGTCCTCACTACACGCTAGTCTGTGTGCATCTTGACATGCAGCTAAGCCCACCTATCCTCCAACAAAACAGACCATGTGCACAGAATTGGATGCTTTATTGAAAGAACAGGATATGGTGAAACAGCAATGCTCTCTGTGTAGGATGTAGGTTTGTCCTTGGAAGAACATGTGCCACGGATTAAGATGTACTTTTCTTTGTGTTTCTGCCTCCTCCAAATGCTAAAGAAAAATGGAGTCTGGCTTCCCAACGTGTACTTGTTTTGAGAGTGTGGGCTGATATGTAATGGGGTTGGGTCAGCTTCAGAACAATCTAGATTGTTATTTGCCCTCTGGCCACTAGATGGCGTTAGAGAGCCAGAACAGCATATATAAAAATTATATGCTAGGGCACGACACCTAGTAAACAGAATTAGAATAATATAGAATGCGGCACAGGGAGATTCAGGCACCCCTTTCCCCCCCTCCACCCATGAAGACTGGAGAAGAAAGGGAAGAAAATCTTCAACTCCAGTTAAGACAGCTTCCATATCTTGGCCACAGGCCATCTCTGAGCCTTGAGCCTTGCCAAGCTCACACTGGTGCTGTTGATCAATGGTGAAACAGGCTCATAAGAGCGGAGGGAAAGACTGGCTGAGAGGAGGCCCATCCGGACGCAGTGATCTGTGTCTTCCCCAGCAAGCAGCCCAGCGATGATTCCAGCCATTAAGCTGCAAAGAAAAGAGAGCTTGTGGGCTGAACTAGACTAGGTTAGGGGATAAGCATGGAATATGAGCGTTCAGAACATTTTCCTCACCCTTATCCCTCCCTACCCTTTGAAGAAACTTCACAGCATATACTAGAAGCATCCCCAAAATTGTACCCAGCAAGAACCATGCCTCATATTAGTGGTCCGCAGGATTTTAAATTATGAATTTAGTGGTCCATGAGGCCCGAAACATTGGTGACCACTGCTTTAAACTATTTCTCAAGGCATTTTCATGTCACAGTAAATGGGACATATAACACACTATTGTTTCTGTCACTACTGGACAAGAAAGAAATGTACACAGCAGTGGTGGGTTCCGGATCCTGTTGCAACTGGTATGGTTGCAATGGGGTCCGGCGTCCACCACATGAATGCGCACAGCGCGCACATGTGTCCTTACCTCTTGCGACGCCTCCACGAGCCTCTGTGACACACCAGTTGCAGAACGTCGCACAGGCAATGTGTGCTGTGTGTGCTTGCGTGGAAGTGCCGAAGAGCTGAAATACAGGTAAGGAGCTCGGGCGGGTGGGTGGGCCCTCCGGAGCACCGTACTGGAACGGTACCTGGTGCTCCGGGCAGGCACCAGTACACCCATACCGGAGCGTACCGCCTGCAACCCACCACTGGTACAGAGCCAAGAGTACTTTCTTACATGGTTTCTATTGGCACTTTCTTGCAATGAGATATATAATATATCTCATATTACATTTCCTAGCAATTTAGGTAACTTAGTGCCAAAAAAATATGAATAGGTTAATACAAAATATATACATAACTTGTGTACTGAATCACATTATCCATAAAAAGGAATAGTCAGTACATGAGATGGACTTCAATTGGACTTCTACATTAATAAAAGTACCCACGCTCCTGGGGAAGACATCCAAAAAGGTTGTGTGATCTTTTCACAATAGTTGTGTCTCCAAGCATGTGGAGCAAAACTTCAATTATCTTCCAACAACGTAACCATAAAATATAACTCCATGTATTTTTCTTTCACAACAAAGCAGAAAACTGACAGCTTACAACAAGCTTTCTATCTCTCATCATGTCCAAATAAATATTTGGGCTAGTGCTTTCCTTAGCAATGTGGCATACCTGTATGCACTGTTATGTCCTCATAGCAACCTAAGTTTCAAAGATCTAACAGAGGGAGGGGGAACACTGTACAGCCACGGCATGCATTCAATGAACAATTAGCAGTATATACAGTACCTATCACCAGCTCCAGAGACATTCACTATCTCTTCAGTGGGGACAGGGAGCGCTGGGTAGTGAACAGCACGTAATTCCTCTGTACCATTCTGTAAAATGAAATGGGAGAATTCAAGGAGCTAGGCCTGTAGGCAACTATAAAGTGCCTTCCTGCTCATCTAATGAATACTAACGTTCTGGGTAGCTAAAGGTGAACATGACACAAGAGGATAATTTCCTTACTCGCTTTATCAGACCTGATTGGAGAAAAACGATGGTAGTATCATGAATTGAACTCATAGTCCTCAAGTATTACAGTTGAAATAGGGGAACTGAGCAGGATAATTCACTATAATCAGCTATTGAAAAGGAAGGACCAATGAGAAGAGGCACTATTCCCCATATTCAAGTCTCCATCTTCATGTTTACAAGCACAAATCCATAATTTAAAAATGATGAGATTTTCATTTTCAGAAATTCTTACGTTTGGTCTTTCAAAGGGGAGATTTCTGCATGGTCTTCTGAATTCTAAAATCCAAAGACGGACTAGTGTTCTAATATTTTTCCTTTACCTTTTTAGTTTCATTTCTTTATCCCAAGGGTCGGCAACCCACAACTCTGGAGCCGCATATGGCTCTTTCCTCCCTCTGCTGCGGCTCCCTGTCACCAGTTGGCTCCACAATTGATAGAGCTTTCAGTTAGGACAGGTAGAGGAAAAAGGATGCCACACTAGGAGGAGACTCTGTGGTGGGGGAACCGGACTTCTAGTCGGCTCCAGAATTGAATGGAGGGTTAGAACTGATTAGGACATTTGTGGCTCTTCGAGTGTTTAAGGATGCCAACCCCTGTTCTATTACTATGAAAGTTCCCACATTCTTTTTTGGGATAATATTTGCTTCCTCTTATCACTGCCCTCAGTACACTTCTGCATCATCCACATGTGGTCCTGAACACAAAAAAAAAATGATTGCCCATGACAGATAATCATTGACAGATGAACACAAGTGAGACTGGGATTTCCATTGTAGATCATTGCAATTATAACCTGAGTGAGACCTGATTTTATAACCATTTTTAACAGCAAGCGAATCAAAGGTTGTTCAGTGACTGACACAGTCATTGAGCAAATCCAGCTTCCTCAATGGGCATCTTTTACCAGAAACCGGCAAAAAAAATAAGATCACAAATTACAAAATCACACGATGTTGCAACCAGTTCTCAATACAAGCTGGTTGCCAAGCAGCTGACTTATCCACAGAGATGGTACTGTGTTCTGACCGGGGCTTCCCAAGAGCCTGAAGTAAATTCCTGGTCCCGACAAAAACCCCTTTTACTAATTAACTGTGAATTCTGCTCATTCACATCCAGCAAAGTCTTTCCAGGGAGGATTTANTATCCTTGCCCTGGAGTGGGGTAGAAATGGAGATTTTACAGTATCCTTCCCCTGGAATGGGGTGGAAATGGATGGAGATTTTACAGTATCCTTCCCCTGGAATGGGGTGGAAATGGATGGAGATTTTACACTATCCTTCCCCTGGAGTGGGGTGGGAAGGGAAGGAAAATTTTACATAATCCTTGCCCTGGAGTGGGGTAGAAATTGAGATTTACAGTATCCTTCCCCTGCCATGCCCACCAAGCCACACCAACAAGGCATGCCATGAGCACAGAACCAGTAATGATTTTTTTTAATCCCACCACTGAACCGGATGCCAGTGGATACGCTGGTTGAGGATTATGGGGACTGGAGTCTAACATGGGGAACATCTCCTGAGAGGAAGCTATTCCTCCTCAAATGAAAGTCCAGTCAAATCTTTATTGTTGTGGTTCAAAAACTGGGATGTACACAAAAACCACATGAACAAAATTGTGATAGAACAAGATCAGCACAGGACCAACAATATCCCTGCGCAATACTGATTGTGTGTGGTGGAATCCAGTGCTGAGTTGTATAATTCATTGGTATGTAGAAAGTGCCCCCCAAGGGATCCACCTTAAATCTTCACAGTATTTATCTAATAGTTATGCAAAGAGTACTTTAGTCTGGCACGATTCCTGTCTGCAGGCGAATGGCAATAAAGAAACTACTCTGAGCGATTTATGATAATGTTCGTGGCTCTCTACACCTGACATTGGACTGCATTCTAA